ACGTATATAGCGTCCCGTAAACTAGTTTTTTCGGTTAAAAAAAAGTTTATTAGAATGTTATAATATTATTCATAGCTATTTAGTATTTACCATTCATCGTTGGTCCATTTCTGTGCTATAAGATATTCAGTGCATGATCTAGCAAAGAGAGAGAGAGAGAGATGTAATTTGACTTATTCGGATTGTATGTCTGCAAACAATCTAGTAATCTAGTTTTGGGTAATCACGGCAAGAAAATACGGCTAATGACTAAATAAAAAGCGAAAAGATACGCCCCGACGACTTTGTCCATTCCGACATTTTTACTTTGGCGTGTTTTTCATCTTGATTAACTCGTTACCCAACTTCTTTATTACAAAGAATAGAATATTTGAGAGGAGAAAATATAAAAACAGAACAGAACAGAACAGAACATGCGGGACATGAACGGAACCAAACAGAACAGAATAGAACCAAACAGAACAGAACCAAAAGAACAAAATGGAGCGGGATTGGACAGGGTGGGCCGGGAAGACGGGGGCCGGGAGGACGAAATGAAAAAAGTATATGCATTTATGCCATGAACAAGGGCCTTACGAAACGTGTCATTTTTCGACAGTATTCGACGACATTGCGAAAGATTATAAATAGTAGCATATTTAACTGGACTACTTACGGAAGATCACGACTGTTTGATTTAGGACAACAAGATGCGTTGCCATCCTTCATGCAACATGCCAGTGAGCCATTTATTCTTTATTCTTCCGTTCTTGGGCAATATGTTCTGTCGTGCACCCCTTCGTCATTACAGTGGTTCCCTCCACCATAACAACATGATGGCTGAACGCTGGTAATACAACATGCACTCATCGAATCTTCATCTTGCGGGCGTGGGCAGTATGATCTATTGTTCAGCCCTTCATCATTGCAATAGTTTCCTCCATCAGAACAACATGATGACTCGCCATTGATAATACAACATGCCCTCTTTGAATCTTCATCACGCGGACGCGGGCAATATGTTCTATTGTGTACCCCTTTATCACTGCAATAGTTTCCTCCAGTAGAACAGCATGATGGGTAGCCGTCATCAACGCAACATGTCCCCTTGGAGTTGTCATCAGATCGTCGCGGGCAATAATTTCTGCTTGCTGTATTTTCACGGCAGAAAGTACCGTTATGAAAGCAGCAATTGTTAGTTTGATTGTAGTAGCAACACTTGTTGTGCGTTAGTTTCGTTACGTCATTTGGACACTTCATGGTATTTTTTTCGGACAAATGAGAAGCTGCGCATTTCATCCCTACAAAATAATGCAACTGTTTGATAAGCTGTAACATTCGAGATGAAAAATCGATATATCATTGACACGTGTCTTTCGTAGAATTTACACGATTCATGACTATGTTTTGGCACAACATTTTATCCCAGAAACCTGGTATCAAATAATTATAATTACAATGCTTATTTATATTTGTTGTTTCTTAGTCTTTATCTTCGTCCTCGTCTTCGCTGCTCATTATTTTTAACTATTTTAACCACTGATTAAGTTTGATTTACAAATCTTTTTCGGATCATCTGTGATAACCATTCTGCAAATGTTACCAACACTGATCTCGATATAATTGGAGTGATTATTCCTATATAGCCAGCAGTAAAAAATTTAATTAAAGCCACTGACGATCATCTTGGTATTTGAGGTCCAGTGTAGACTGGAATGTTTTTTCCAAATCCATAATATCAAGAGGCCATGAAGGTGAGGGAAGTAATTGACCGTAGAAGTGCTTACGTCACGCAATTTTCAAACCATCTAAATGTCAGGTATACGCAATGCAATGTGGGATACATGTGGGTCAAACATTCACAAGAAACATTAATTGTTTGACAGTGGCGTGACGTAACGAATTAATTCTAAGGTCAACTTGTAGTAATGGGTATGATTTTATCTTATTCCATGCGAAATTATTTAGATGTCTCGATCGCGATAACCAATTAAGGGGGTGTTCATATGGAGGCGAGCCAGACCACTTCGTCCCCAGGCCATTTACAGAGCTAGGAGCATAGATATCTTATATACACTAGATAGCGCATCTCTTTTAGTAAAATTGAAGCCAAGAATATTCCAGCGGTTACCCCCATTTGAATAGATGGCGGCCATGTTGGTCGTTCCCACTTGTTAATAAACGCTTAAAAACAACAATAACTTTCATCATATGAATAGTTTAAAAACGTATTTGGAATAGGGTTAACTTGTTTAAGTTCCCTGTTTAAGAAATAGAAAACATACGAATCTTCTCATTTCATGGGAACGACCTGAGACTGCAATCACGGCTTCAATTTTTGAATTGCAGAATAATTAGATGCACTATCTAGTGTATATAAGATATCTATGGCTAGGAGGCGCGGAGCCAGCCCAGGTACCTGGACTGGGCTAGGCCTTGCCAAGCTAATTTCATCCCGTTTTTACATGAGATATTCGTGATGACACAAGATCTTTAATTAAATATCGACAAGCTACTAATCGTACATGATGTTCAGGCTTGGACCAGTGAGCTCAATATATAACTGGGGAGAGATCTTCGAATAATCGCTCGGCCAAAGATTGAAGGCAAAATTGATAATCCTAGTACGTCATTTCCAGTCCCTAAAGTTGTTTACACGCAACTGCAGATTGGACACTGTTCTTGAGCTCTCCATACTCCATTCACTCTTCCTCGCTTTCCTGGACGCTCTTTGTAATTACAAGACCTATACCTAGCTATGTCTGGTGTTTCGTGCAGCCATAAAGTTAAACAGCCTAAATTGAATAAAAACTGCTGTACCTCATGCATTGAATTCTTACCTATGGCATACATTACGTCAAAACGATTCCAAATATTTGTGCTATTGCGGCTGTGTGATACAAACACAAGTCGAATGTATCCTCCACTTGGAGACAACGTGCCTGAAATGATCTGGTGACCACAGTATTGCCCAATTACTGTCGAATTATTACACTCTCCATCTTTGATAGCAAGGTAGGTACCATGCGCACTTTTTCGTTCCCACACACGTGGCAGTCATGAAGTTACTGAACGTTATTTCAATTTCACTTCCAGGTGGTACCAAAATCTTCCACGAATACGCTCGATTGATGTTCCAATAGCTATAAGTCGAACTGTAAAAGAAAAGAGATATCAAGTCAAGTTATTATGTCTCAATTCAGCTTGAGAGCCTGTTCGCAGGCTAGTTATTATGCTACATACTTCACAGATTGACATATGAACCATTGTTACCCAGGGATGAAACAATGTACCTTTATAAAATAATTGTTACGCAGTACTGCAATAGTGCTTTGTTCTTTATAAACTCCACAATAATTATTTTTATCGCATGACACGCCCCAACTCATTGTTGCATTGCATTGCAACTGTCTATATGTGTTGTTTTCGTTGTCTTTTCTTGCCATAAATACGATAATGGGTTCTTTACTGTGCGAAGTGATCATCTATATTTTGTGGATTCTGAAAAAAAAAAAAAAACAAACAACAAAAAACACGAAAAAAAACAGACGTTCTTACAGACTTACTAGGAAAATTTTATTCTGCCATATTGTTTGTTAAGAGTTTCGTTTGCGACGCATGTTTGGGCATCCAAGATGCTAGTGTTTACCACCAGCAGTAGCTGACAGACTAGAAAAACAAAGAGCACATCAAATTATTAATAAATATATTAACTGATACTTTCCTAAACGAAGTCACTGCACTACTGTACATGTACCAAAATACAATTGTAATCGCTTTTTTATAATTATATGAAAGCATAATATACACTGAAGTAAGCCAATATATAAGCCAATTTTTTATGATGTTGAAAGCAATATTTAATCAGAGATGTCCAAAAACCGTCCATCACATGGATAATGGAGGAGAACTTTGAACTTCGTTATGTTCCCTGGTGTAAACCCCGTGGCACCAGAGGTCCGCTCCGCGCTACTCCTACTCCGGCTTTGTTCCTTGTTATGACAAATGATCTTCTTATTGATTGGAGCGATAGATGGAAGTATGTTGATGACAGTACGTTTGCTGAACGAGTTACATCAACTGAGAGTAGTGAACTACAAGATCTAGTGAATGTTATCTATAATTGGTGTGAAGTTAATAATATGAAGCTCAACATCGGCAAATGTAAGGAAATGGTAATTGACTTTGCAAGAGAAAAACATGAGTTTTTACCGTTAACTATAAATAACGTTGGTATTGAGCGGTTAAAATCTGCCCGAATTCTTGGTCTCTCAATCCAAGATGATTTGAAATGGAACGAGCATGTGAACCATATTGTTAAAAAAGCGGGAAAACGCCTTTATATGCTAAGGTTGTTAAAACGATCAAATGCCCACAATAGCATTCTAATTTTGGTATACTGCACCATTATCAGACCAGTACTCGAATATGCCTGCCATGTTTGGCACTTCAATATTACAGAATACCTAAGTGAAGATATCGAAAAACTCCAGAAGCGGGCTCTGCGTATTGTCTTGCCATTCGCTACTTACAGAGAAGCTTGCAGTATTACTGGTATACCCTTACTGAAAGATCGGCGGCGATTATTATGCGAACGTTTTTTTTGTTAAAAATGCACATGGAGACAAATTGGGTGACCTCTTACCGCCTAAACTTGAACATAACTATAATACACGTTATGGAAGCGATTATAATAACTATAGTTGAAAAACGGACAGATTTATGAAATCGTTTTTTCCACAGATGGTTTCACATATGAATAGACCATAATTTTAATATTTTTAATATTTTTAAATTTGAACTCTATAACTTTTTCAACTGAAGTTATGAATAATTTTATGCATCTAGATATTCTATTGTAGTATAATGAGACTTTTTACTGATGTAATTTAACCTAATAGGTTACAAATCGGTATTTTATTAAATTATCAAATTATCAAATTATTCAAGTTCAATTTGGTGATGGAGGCGATGGCTTGTATATACGTGGTTACGAAACTCTCTTTTCTGGCATGGATAAAATGTTTGCCGACTCTGGAAATCTTATCAGTCGCGAAGATTACGGCAAAGGATATGCATTGTATGCTATAGATCTCACTCCGGATCTTACCAGCTCGGAACATTTTAATCCTGTTCAAACTGGAAACGTTCGCCTAAGTATTCAGTTTGCGCGAGCTCTGCCAAATACAGTCACCTGTTTAGTTTACGCCGAGTTTGAGAGCCTTATCGAAATAGACAAGAGCCGAAACATTATATTTGATTTCAGCGCATGAACTCCACCACGATAGAGAAAATTCTACGCTCCGATAATTGCACTAAACATGTGTTTGGTGGTGTCTACGCATCGGATAAACTGCCTGAGACAGTGGATAGTTACCCCAAAGCCTATGTGGTAAATGTTGATGAAAGTTACATGCCCGGCTCACATTGGGTCGCATTTTGGTTTGCTAGTCCTACATATGGTGAATTTTTTGACTCACTTGGCCAAGATCCCGAAGCATATACATTGTCATTTGTATCATTCCTGGCAAAAAACTGTTCGAAATGGACATGCAATCGTCGGACTCTTCAATCGCCTTTTTCAAGCGTCTGTGGACATTTCTGTATTTATTTTATATACTATCGTTGTAGAAATATAGCTACGAGTACAAGAGAACATAAGTTTACTCGGAACCTTGTAAAAAACGATGAACTTGTTGCAGCTTTTGTAAGAGCGATATTTCATGCAAAATCACGCAACAAATTTGGTCAGAAGGCTATAGCAAAGTACTCAAAAACAATGTAATAGTTAATATTTATTTAGTAATAAAGAAAAAATTGAATGCACTGATTGTTTGGTTAATTCACACACTATTTTTACATTAATGAATCACACAGGATTAATCGTTAGACTTTAATATCTAGATACGTAGTGCTTACACCGTCGTCTAATACTTTCCGTTTACCATAGAAGTAGGTAAAGGCGTCTTTAGCCTGTGTATAAGTGAAAACTGAGTTCCCCCTAAGACGAAAACCTCTGTTCATCGCGGAGCCTGTTACTTTGCTGCGAAGAACACGCAAATAGGTGTCTTTATTAATCGCATTCGTATTCCTATTTACCCCCTTACAGCTGTACTTAGACTTTGATGAATTGAAACAAAAATACATTTTGCTACAGAGCCCAATAATACCATCCCCTTGGAACTCGGTCTTAAATAAACCCGGGGTGCGTTTGTCGAAAGCCATGACTTCGTCGGAATAATCTCGCGGAAACCACGCAAATTTTTCCTGTTCGTATTTAGCTCAGAGTTCGGGTTTTATCACAGCGTCAATACTCTCACCGGAGAGAGCGACATAGGCCGAGTCGGTATCCATTTCGCAGTACTCAAAATCAGAGCGATCAATGAATGTATCCATAAAATCGTAATAAAACTCAAGCATGCGAAGTTTTGCGTACTGGTAAACGAAAAAACCTATTTGAATAGGTAAATTCATGCTAATCGACTTTTTGGTTTTGCTTACTTCGTAAAAACCGTCATCTACAATGTCCAATTTCCTAAAATGAGGGTCGTTAACCATTAAACCAATGTTTGACTCATCACAATACTTAATATCCAAATGCTTTTCTTTATTGGTAAGCGTGCGACCGTAACCTGAATTGCCGAACAGTTTCATCGTTTCTGCTATGATGGCAGTGGAAGGATCACGATCACCTTCCCTGCGTGCGTTACTCACGTCATCCGCAAAGCTCGCGAAACAATTTTTTGGTGTATACTCGACAATTTGATAAATTTTTGTTACTTGTAGACCATGTTCGATATACCAGCGTAAAAGAGGGGTGGTAAGGAAAATCTTAATACCAAACATACTGCCAATTAACCCTCGTCTCGGCTTTGTATTCAAGTTATTTTCTCTAACAAAATTTTGCATGTGCTCGCCGATAGCCTCCAAAGGAATGTCGGCGTTTTTGAAAATAGATGACATTTCTGAAAATTTATCTTTTTTGTCGTCCGGAACGTGTATGTCGCATTCAACAACGCCAAAAATTTTACCACTTTTTATCATCGAAAGTATTTCGGCCTCAGACATTGCCGTTTTCACGTCTAAACCCTGCTTGTAATTTTGACGAAAAAGTTTCAAATCATCGTCAGTCTTTCGCATTTGTTTATACTGACATTCCCAAATGTCCACTACGGTGTAGCCGCGGTCTTGCAAATATCGTTTCCGCTCAATTGTTCGTTCATAAAGAACTCTCATTTGAACCCCACACCGCTCGTTATAATCCTTTTCGTTTATCTCACATTGGTGACCGTGGAAATAACAGCCGTTAAACTCATATATAGTTTTGTTAGCCGTATCAAAACCGTCAACGAAATAACGTCCTATTCTTTTCTCGCCCATGTTATGGGCATGTTCGATATTAACACCGTCGCGCTGCGCTACATAATCAAGCCATTCTATACTTGACTTGTTGAAAAAGTCTTGTTTCCTAAAATTTGTTTCCGAACTACGTCTAGCATAATAACCGCATGGCATATCTTGCGCCAAGGCCCAAAGGTATAAAGCGTTTGCGTCTGCACCCCAAACTCGCTTACACGGCTTGCCGCCACGAATGAACGTTTTGTCTCTCTCATGATAACGCTGAAAAATTATTGAGGGCCCACCCACGATGTTGTTTTTAAAACTGTAGTACAGGTCTTTGTTACGTTCTTGAAAAAGGGAAAAAAAGGTGTTTGCCTCGAGTCTGCTAAAAAGGTATTTCATAACTAACCCGGGGACGGAAATCCCATCCTTAAATAGATCTAAACCCCTGGGCTGGTAAAACTGAAACATTTTTTCGATAGCTTCTACAAAGGGTTCGACATCCAAATTGTTATACCACACTAAATAGTCTCGAAATGTCTGCATGTTTTCGCTTTGCCAAACATCGAGACAGTATTGATACTCATCATCAGAAATATTTGCATTGCGAAGGGTGCTAAAAAACACCGCTTGTGGCGGCAGTTCGCCAACATCAAGTTTCTCACGGTTATCAAACCACTCGTAAGGAAAGTACCCTTTCCGAGCAACGCATTCGTACGCTTGTAAAAATTGGGCATAGCTATACCCTGGAGCCAAATAATTACATATGTCAAGAAATTTAAGGCGTGCAGTCTTCAAACACATATAGGCATTATTTCGTTTAATCACAAAGTCAAAGCCGCTTGTGTTGTTTTCCTCGTCCAATTCTGCGCATTCAATCTCTCTAAATAGAAACATTCTTATCACGTTGATGTCGTAGCGAGACCGGAATTGAAGCCAATGACAGGCATTTCCCGTAAATATTGATCTAGCTTTTTCTTTAATCTTAAGAGCTGTAGTTTTCCCTTTTCGTCCTCTGACGGCAAATTCGTCAACATCGTGTCTAATTCCGAAAACACATTCTCAAATTTTTCGTTCAAAAGCCGATAACTCGTATCACTTATTTCAAAAACATATTCGACAAAATCACTGACAAGTTGCTTTGAGTCACCATCGGTAACAAAACAATGAGCGCTCTCGTAGCCGGGCACGTTACTGGCGACAGAAATAGACGCTGGCACATGTTCAGCCTTCCATTGAAGTCTAGCATTGGATTCTGCGCGTACGTCGTACTGAAAACTCTCAATGTCCCAAGTGGCAAAATAAGGGAAAAAAGTATCAGTGGTCTCAAATTGAAATCCCATGTCCTCTAATTCCTGAAATACTGTCTTCGGCAATTGATAAACTTTGCCCGGAAACTTATGTTTTACATTTATATCACACCTTTTCTCATGGCGACACAGTTCGTACGGCTTTGGAAAGATTTTGTCGCATTTGGAACATACGAAACAATTGCTGTAATTTTGGAAGTCGGCGATAAAACTAAAATGATTTTCGTGCAAATTTACATGCATTGATGGAAAGTCTTTTACGGAACGTCGAATACAAACAGCGTGCTTAGACTCATCAATCGAGTACACGTAAATGGATACGGAGAAAAGCTCCTCGACCACACTTAATTCCGTCAGATCAACCCCGCAGAAATCCTCGCGAGCCAGGCTAGTTTCCTGGAGATATCTCTCGAAGCAAGCTTTCGACGCACGCTCTAAGCTACTTTCGCCCGCCCCCTCATGCAAAGCCAGGCACCTGAATAGGCAGAGGTTGTCGCGATATGGCTCACCCGTATTTCTACTTTTAGTTAACCCTATGATAGAATGATTATTAGAAATATAAGAAGGCAATTCAACCGGTGCACCGACCGGTACATTAAGCCTAGTCACTGTAACCTGTGCTTGAATTAAACGATAAAAAACCCACTTGCTATTGGGTCGCTAGTTTCTAGCCCATTCTAATACATCCAGCGTTCGTAACACTTCTATAAAATCCCTAAAGGAGCGGTCGTCGTGCACCATCATTGGCGCATCTAAAACGTTAGTGTTATTGGAGGCGTAAAAGAATCTTAGCTCTCCCGTTTCTACGTTTCTTAGTACAAAACTAAAATTTAAGTTTATCTTGAACGCACTACGCTGTCTATGATAAATGATGCGCAATTCTTCGATTAATGCCTCAACCGTAAAAAAATCATGCGTTCTAATATTGTAAATGTCTTGCCTGTCGTGAAGACGGTCTCCAGCCTCTATGATTTCTTGATGCTGGTTTAGGAGCGCCTCAAGCTGTTCCTCGTCGTTGTCTTGTGGGATGGCAGCTTCAGGATTTCCCTCATCTTGGGGAGCGTCCGGTTGCTCGTAATTTTGCTGTTCGCCTGAAGGTCCAGCTCCAGTCTGGTCCATTTGCCTTGAGGGGCCGGCTTCAGTCTGTTCATTGGGTCGTGCGCGTTTGTTTGACGCACTTGATTATCTGGTAAAAAAGATAAACAAGTCTATATAAACCAAATTGTCCGCATTATTTTAGACAGAGCGATTAAGTTTTTAACTTACCAGAGTTCTCTCTTTTGTTGTGACCATGAGTACGCTTATGCCTCGAAAGATTAGACGAATGCTTATAAACTTTGTCGCACTTGTCGCAACGATATCCTGTAATGACAACAAAAAAAATAATTTTTGAGACTGGTACTCTATCAGATGGACAGCAGTTTGTCCAATAACCTACCAGTATTTTGTCGTACAGACGCGTCAACCCTTTGCCAATCCTCATTTGTAAAAGATTCAAATGGATCATCTAAAAGAAGCGTGAAAAAAAACAAAAAATGGTTAAACAAACACACATGAGTTTAAATGTGATTGATTAATGTAATTCACTCATTTACCTGGTAAAGCACATTCTAAAATCGCATCATTCTCCAAGCGTTCTAGTTCAGATGCACTTAAAGAGTCGAGTATACTCTCCCATTCCGTGTAAACGTTCTGTTCCACATGAGGAACGCCAATTGCTATTTTCATTGTAAAGGTCATGCAGGACCTCCAGAAATGAGCAAGCGCTGTTATTACTGCTGGTTTTATAGTGTCGCCCAAACACGTTTGGTCATTAACTTTCGTTGTAGCCACGTGCAAGCGCAATACACGTTCAGGCAAACTTTTAATGAGCGTCACATCATTCATTATACTCGACGTGATTTTCTTTGCCTATAAGACTGCCGAAAAGATGAACACTGAAAGATGAGACCTATAAAACAACCGAAAAGGCTCCTTTGCGGTTACTACGTAGACAATAAAGCATGGTGTGCCGCGCAATCGTCTCCGTACATGTTAACAATACAAGCTATACTTAATAGCAAGAACCGAAAATGCTATAGTCAATTATTATACAAACTTTGCAAACCGAAAGAGTTGCCGAATCAACACAATTCATTCCTATATACGAACTTTTAAAGAACAACTCTGCAAGATGCCTGTACTTCGACCGAAAAAGTTTAGACATGGTGCAGTTCCTTTGCGAGAAGTATGCAGACAACATAACATCAGACGAGAACTGGAATCACCTCCCTATAGCTTATTTTACGCGGTTGAGAATGAACTGGACAACTGTAGAGGTTTCAGATTGAAAGAGGATTGTTATATTTGTCTTGAAGAAATACAGCGGAAGGAAAGAGGGGCAATTTCAACCGCATGCTGTGACCATTTCGTGCATAAACGATGCGTTAGACGATGGAGGCTACAACAACGAAGAAATGGAAACCCGGAAACATGCGCGCACTGTCGTCAGCAGTGGGACAGTACAAAACTATGTTCCACATGTGATATCATGCACACAACGGCAGAAACGTGCCATTGGCGCCGTTATCATCCTTAAGGAGAAAAAATGTCACTTTTTGTGTGTGAAAAAATAATAAATATTAACACCACTCAACACTATATATATATATATATATATATATATATATATATATATATTATATATATATATATATCCACAAGTAAAACTATTCACTTAATTCTTAAACATAGTTATATCAAGTCTCTTAAAAGTTAGTCTTCCACTGTAATTTTCTAGCCCTTCTTTTGACCGGCGTATATTCTTCTTTTTCGGGTGAGTCTTTCTCCTTGTCCGGTGTTTTTTCGTATACATGAGTTTTGAAAAGTTGGAGTCGTTCAGGGTTGCGTATTAAATCTTCAGGAAGATTAATTTCACTCAATCCTTTTGGGAAAATTTCATATCCCTTAGGCTTATTATTTTTACGATATTTAAGCGAATCGCCTACAAGATTAGTAATATTTGTATTTGCCAAAGTCTCTCCGTTATATTTCAGTTCGCCACGATCGGTCCAGCTTAAAACACCAGGATTATCCCGAATTCGTCGCAAAATCATTTTTGCTTTAGGTTGTAATGTTTTCGGTAAAACTTCAACAATTTCGCCCACAGTCATTTTGTCTTTGTCGTTAACAGCATTGTTAATTGAGTCCGTTGAATTAACGACTACCGCTTTCTTAGGCACTTCTGAAAGCTTAACCGGAATAGGTTCAGCTCTTTCATCGGTCCGTTTTGTCTTGAAATGTAGGTAGTTCTCCAAGGTTTGACTGTAAAGCTTCGCTTTCTCCTCTTGTGTAGTATCAGTTCTTTCCAAAATCAATTTCATTTCATCGTCTAACTGGGCCATTTTTTTAACAGTCGGTGGGGTTATTTGATTTTGTTGCCTCATGAAATTATCAAAAGCGTTTTGCGGAATCATAATCATTTTATTTGAATGCTTCATAATCTCAATCAATTAACGACACGACCTCTTTCAAAACGGGTTCAAGTATTAAAGTTAGAAAGCCTTCGCTTTTTTGCGTTAATGTCTGGCGCTTCCTTTTCAGAGATGTTCTTTTGTCGGCTAACAACCTTAAATGATTTTTATGTTTTGACAGCTTCCTTTTTTGAGGTGCTGATAGTTTAACCACGCTTGTTAAAATATTCAACACACAATCACAAATCGCTTTTATACAACTTGGTTCTGCGTGTTTCAAAATCGCCTTGCGCAGCTGTGGCTTTCCTTTCTGTAAAGCCCTTAGCAAATGAAGGTTCCTTCTCATGTGGACAGACATGGTGAAATGCCTTAAGTTTGCCAAAACTCCGCTTTTTTCTCACTTTCGTGCATAAACAATCTGCCAATCATCGGGAAATATTTTTGAACGTAGTCTAAATTTATCTTCTGTTTGCGGATGTAAATCTATGAACAAGTACGAATAAGCCTTTTCCGTGGCGTCTCTATAGGCCTCAATTAAGTACTGCCCGCAGCCCGGGTACATTTGTCGAGCAAGCGTCGAAATAACGGTTTGATCCCTTGGACTTTTGAACACCACCATATAGTGACAATTGAGAGAACATAAGCGGGAGAATTTGCCTTTATTATACAAAGCTTGCTGTAAAAATATCACGGATATTGATCTATGATGGCTGCCTTTTGTAAATAAGTTTGCTAATTCTAAGTTATCAAGTAGCTCATTTTGAAGATCGTCGATTATCATTACGGTATGAAACGACGGATCAGTCATGCTTTTGACATCTGGAAAGCCTTCAAAAAATTGTATCTGTGGTATGTTTTGTCGGATTTCCTCAAAAATAGGCTGCCATTCTCCGTAACAGTACAGGATTTGATATTCAACTTTTCGGTCAATCATCTTATCTATATTTTCAAGAAACTTTTTAACCCAAACTGTTTTGCCCGACCCAGACGGTCCAGAAATCTGCAAGCAAAAACAAGCCTTAAGTCTAGGGTCCATGGTAGCCTAACACAAAATGAATACATATCTGTCCTGCTTAAGCATTTTAATTCGAATTATGAGCTCAAAGAGAGATAAAGTATTTTGCCCGGAGTGGGGTTCGAACCCAAGAAGTGCAACGCACATTAGATCGCATGCCTTTACAAACATAACGCGTCTGGGCAATGTCGTAAAACTGCAATGTGTTCAGCTATGTAGGACAGTTAATGACTTTTGCCATTCAATCCTGATTAGTGATATTCAAATTTCGCCAGGTTATTAGTTGTGTAACCATGCAATTAAGCGTTGTATCCAAGATTGTTTTATTTCAAAGCTGGCTATATCGACTTGTTTTAATTCCCATAGACAGATTCTTACGGCTTCTTGCACAATTTCAGCGTCACAAAAATCACTCACTTTAAAAACTAAAGTCAAGTAAGCCATAATTCTACCAAAATTTGAAGGTTCTAACTCCTGATAGATCACACACAAATTTTCAAGTATGTTCTCTCTCCCAATACGAGCTATCATGCTTTCAAATAAACCCTCATGCTCTTCCAAAAGCACTTTTAAACGAAAACGAAAAGTATTCTCACTCAATTCAATGTTACTTTCCTTCAAAACCGCCATTATTAACCCTTCAGCCATATTTTCACTTAAAACACTTCTAACATTTATATCTGCTCTCCTTGCTCTGGCATCTCGAACCAGAATGACACTCCGAAACTAGCTCGCCTTGTTTTGCGACAGGAATAAATTAACTCTGAAAATAGCTCGCCTTGTTTCGTGACAGGAATAAATTTTCATCACGAAACAAAATGGCGCTAGGTCGGAAACCTCTCGTTGTTTTACCATCCTCGGTGTAACTTCGGAACATCACTTATGAATTAATTAAGATGATCATTCGGAAAATGAATTAATTAAGATGATCACTATGAATATAATTAAAATTATAACCCATGCATAATTACCCTCATTAAAAAATGATAACTCTCATTATTATGCGCATATTATAGGTGTATTAAGCGCATGATACTACTACTACTGTATTCCGACAAAAACGTCGCCCATTCACACACTGCCAAAGACTTTGTGAGTTTATAGTCTGTTCCCACGACGGTTATACTGTATCCTGCATGCGCATCAGCGGTAGTTTTAGCAGCTTTGACTAAAGTCCTGTTTACACTACAAGCCTTGGTAAATGTGCCGCGTTTACACCCTTACATTATTTTTTTGAGACTGGCTGAATTTGGTCTAGAATTTTGTAATTAATTTTGTGTATTTATATGTGTTGCCCGTTGTCCGCTCGTCCGATAATATCTCACTGTGCCCTGTGAACACACGTTGCCATAAAAACAAGGCCTGGGCCGTAAGTGTTTACATTCCCACAAGCGTAAGCCATGCCTAGGCCAACGGTTGTAGTTGCCCAGATTTCCTGGCTATAGGTCAGGCCAAGGCTAGGCCAAAGTCTGTTTACACTTTACACTGCCAAAAT